CTGTGAAGTACTCTCTTTTCCCGCAGCTAGTACCTGGGATTGTGTTCCTTTCATCATAACACCCGCGGCGAGGAAAATCAAGGAAGAAGGCCCTCCAAGCAATGCTAGCACATTGGTGTTTCAGTGCTGCGCGGGCTGTATCAGCTAGCGAACAGGCTGTGGGTGGGATAGTTACTGAATCAACAGCCCAGGTGTGGGACGAGATCGGTGTGGCCACATAGTGTATAAGGACAAACCACTCATAGGTGGACAGAGACTCGTGAGGAACTCTTCATCTTAGCAGGTGTGCCTTCTTTGTAGGAGATATTGCTTTGAACTGAAAAGAGCTGAAACTAGATCTGCTGTATCACTGTTGCTGAGACTGCTATAGAAGATAAGTGTCTCGACAGTAATAAGGCACGTAATACCGATGGATTAGATTCACCCAGAGATGCTAAAAGTACTGGATATTGTGGTTAACCTGCTTCTTCAATATTGTAATGATACCTCAAGTATAGTACCTCTGGACTGGAAAGCTGGGGTGATTGTCCCCATCTTTAAGAAAAGGGGCCAGAAGATATATTCCTACTGTAAGTAGGGAATAGGGTCATACTCCACAGCCTCCCTAACAATGTCTGTGCTTGAGTGTGCTTTATTTTAAAGTAACCTTTTAAGAATCCGATAGGTATTTAGTAGGGACTTTTTGTGACTACATACCTCTAAATAATCATAATCTCCGTCTGCTCATTACTGTGTATTAGTCACTTACAGTAAGTAACAATGACTGAGTAAAATAAGTTAATAGCTTTTAGTCTGTTATTCTAAGCTCCACTTATTTGGCCATGTACCAGTCCTTTATTTATGGTATGTTCGATGATTAGCGCAATAAAGATGAAATAGATCACGAATTTTATAGCCATTCCACCACAAAAACTTGAAAGTACAACTAAAATTAACTACTGAAGGAGTATTTTAGTTTTCTGTTAATATCAAGGCCTTGGTTTTGTTATAGCATAGCCACATTCGAGATATCACTGCTTAAAGATTTTAAAACTTTCACAGTGCCTCAACTCTCTGCTCATGTGGGTAGACTGAGGTCACTTTTTTTCCATGATAAAATGATCTGGACATTTTTACAATAATAATGCATTACATTTACTGTATATAGCTCCAAAGGATTTTAAAGTGCAAGACTGCATAGAAAGGACTCCATTTCCACCACTTCAGTGTAATATTCACCTGAGAAACACAGCAGCCAATATACACTATATTACAAGTAGCTCAGCTGGAGAAAGGAGAACTTCTTACAGTTGAATTAAGGAGAGAATCTACAGTAGGTATACCAGACATCTGCCTGTTTCTAAATAATTAAGGACAGATCCTCAGAAAATAACATACTGTACTGTAGTAAACAATATGGAAATGATGTTGGTATCTTAGTAATAATATGTATGCAGTATTCTTGTGGTGAAGTAGATATACAATCTGTAAGTGCTAGTCATATTAAGCTCTTTTTCATGAAAAAATATCATATTGGCAAGCTGCAGAGAGAAAGAAGTCACTGATACCCATCTTTTGGGAGGGTTTTGTAGAGATTAGCAGGCATTTTGAACACTTCCATAGCATGGTAAATACCTCATACTACTGTCTGAAGTGATATGAAATGGACACTCTGTGAGTGAGAAGCCTCCATGAATATTAATTTATACCAAGGAATCTTCAATGTCTGAGGCAGAAGTTCAGTTCTTTCAAAACATTCTCTTTAATCATGTCACAAGTTCAGTAAATCATCGCAAATGCTTCATTTTGTACTATTGTGTGCAGTACTCTGGGAAATTACTTAAAAACTAATACAACACAGTTTTAAGTTACTTATGCAGGATTGACTTTTCTAAACAAGTAGTTGGGGGACATTTCTTTTAAGAGGTACAGCATTAATTGAAATAGTAACTATACACACTCTACATAGATCAGTATACCTCCTCACTTTTCAGATATTACTTCCTCCAACATGTTAATTTTTTAGATTAAATCACTTTCATAAATAATTTATAATTACAATTCATTCATTTATTTTTAAATAAGTTGGCTCAACATTGTGTGCATATAGTGAACATATATTCAATTGCAACTGAGACTGTATGTATTAGATGAGTAGGTGTGTATGCATGATTAAGCTGTAACACCTTATCATTGTTTTTGTCAAGACAATCCTAGCACATTGTGCCAGGGATGTCAAAAACTGATCTAAGCAACAGGGACCGAAAGAGGGATGTTATTAAGTGTGTAGAATCCACTTGCTCAGCTTCAGTACAATGGATCGCATCTGGTAATGAGTTGTTCAAACTGACTAATTATAACCACCACAACAGGCTATGAGAGCAGCTTCAAGGACAAAGCCCCCTCAGAAATATAATTACTCATTTGGCTGATACTTTAATCTATTGTAACCACTGTAATGACACTTCTAAGTAATAGAGAGATCACGATTGCTTATTTTTTACATACATTTAGTACTGAGTTATCCATCTGGTTGTTACATCAACGGGAGCATCTTGGTCCAGGAGGTACCAAAGTTACAGGAGCAGGATCTCCGTCTGAGATTTGACTCTGATAATCCTCTGGAGTTCAGACTCCTAAATACTGTTCAGGTCAACACTGATATAAACTGAACAGTCACTATTAGTTTTGAAAAATATGAAAAGGGCAAAACTTTTGGCTAAATATTGCTTTTGGTTTTTCTGAGTGCCATGCGAGTGTGCACTTTGCTTCGGGACATTCCTCTGGGTGTCTTCCAAAAAAGCAGGCGTAGCTACAGTGACGATTTGAGCAAAGCCACTGGTTACAGTAATAATTTCTCCTGAAACCCTTGTACTTCTAAAAGTACTGCAGAAAGAGGCAACAGGGCAGCTTTCATGAATTTAAACTCTAACCATTACAATATCATGAAAAAATATATGAGAATTGGTCTACAGTAACTCACATGCAAAGTGCCTTTCAAAGTTAAATCAAGATCAGACCCTTCTAGAAATCCAAGCAATTACTAACATCCAGATAGCTATGTAGTATCATGACATCTATTACACAATACGAGCTGTATTAATAATAATAGTTATGTGTGCAAATAAATACCACTTCCCGTGGATGGGGAAGTCACTTCCAAGGACTGCATGGTGTGAAGCAGACAGTTGGTCGTTAGTTACAGTACCTACACTGTAACTAACATTGAGACCTGAAGGGTTCCTGCACCAGTTAAACTGCAGGAGGTACACAGGATGGAAAGTTCTGAGCTGGATCACAGTAAGGGAATGGGGACCATTACATAGGTGTCAGGGGATTAGTTAAGATTCTGGATTGTCATCAGTTCAGTAAAATGGCATGTCCTACAGTTCAGTCCTCCAACATTCTTTCTAATTGGGCCAGCGTTTTGGTGTCTGTGATCGAGATGAGAAGTCCAATCAGCTGACAATATTGACAGCAGCTACTGTGCCTTGTTCAGTGTTAAGGTCTACTTTGGCACAACATTGGCTGCTGACATACAGGATACCTGTATCTAAGACTGTACCCTTGAGAAACTACTTTAAGGTTCTTTTCAGTCTGCTGGAGTTCTGGTCTGAATTTTTAAAATGCTAAAATAAGAGGACATATTCAATATGTTATACAATATTTAGCAGTTTTAATTATGTAACATTTATCACAGGAAATCCACTTTTGGTACCAAATAATGAATCAATCTGTTTATAACAAAAAAATCATATACTGTATGGAGAAAGAATTGGGGTATTTGTGCTGAATATTCATAAATATTAAAAACAAAACGGTGTTTCAACAAAACATGTTCAAGAATATTCTAAAGTTTGATGGGAGTTCATGAGTTTTTGTTTACCTGAAGATTAAATATTTGTTCTGGATAAAAGCTTAAGGGGCGATGACATGGTTGTGAATGTGACACAAATACAGAGAAAAGCCATTAGGTAAGAAAACACCATAAATATAAAAACAAAACCTGTTTTCGTCTTCACACGTTGAATTCTGGGTGGTTTGAGTGCACACTGATGCTGATGACCTGAGAGCAGTTCCATACAATCCATTACTTTAATGTACTCAGATCCTTGAGAGCTCAGTTTCACCATTAAAATGCTATCATAGAGGTGCTGAAGAATATTGAAGAAGACGTTTAAGAAAAGTAATCTTTATCAAGGGAGTTTTAGAACTTTTAATGATGATATTTGTGTTGGGCAGCATAATGTATGTGCTGGTTGATGTGAACAAGAGAGATGAACGTGAACGCAAACATAGTTGTATTTAAAAGGAATAATATAATGTTATTTTTTGGTGGTGAGTGTAATGGGGTCTTTATTGCTTTATTAACTGGACTGCAATGATTGTACAGTTCAAACCCAATTATTAACCTTAACTTGCAGGTGCAGTACCTGGGTTGCTATCTGCATGGATTCTGCATGTTCTCTCCATGTTCAAATGAGTTCCTCCAGGTACTCTGGTTTCCTCCCACAGTCCAAAGACATACAGGTGGGCTAATTGGCTTCTGGGGTGATTGGCCCTGGTGTGACTGTGTGTCTGTCAGTTTGTCCTGTGTTAGACTGGCATCCTGTCCAGGACATAACGCATCTTGCACATGCTGTTTGCTGGGATAGACTCCCTTGTGACCACGGATTGCTAAAAACAGTTCAAAATTGGAGGATAGATAACTTCCACACTACTGTGTAGGCCTAAAGAAATTATGTGTGTAAAAAAATACTTTTTATTACTTATTATTGGTGTTTCTCTACTGGTTTAAAACTACTGTACATTCAGTTACGACTGTAGGGAAAATATTGTTTATGTGTTTATAGCATCTACAGCACAGTGCATCTTAACATACTGTATTTCTTATACAGGTTTTGCAGGCAAGTGCATTTACAGTATTTATTCAGTACAGAAAAAAAACTAACACTTTCAGATGAAAAGATTTTAAAGCCACAGTTGTTCACAATAAGATCAGGTTTATTCTTTAAGTATATTTGGGGAATACGAAAATGAGGATGAGGATGCACTAAGCAAGAGCAAAAGTTCTAACGCGTTTCTTGAGGGCTTTGCGTTGTGATCATGTGTGCGCAGGTACCCTGCTCCTGATCGGGAAGCTGTAATGTTGCGTGTTGTGATTACAAAGGTGCGCAGCAACAACATCACGCGGGCGGCTTAAAGTCACGTCTCCACAGTGTTAAATACCAGCGCGGCGACCAGTTCAGCTCCAGAAGTGCCGACGACAGGCTAACAGCACGAATACAAGAAGTCTCCCATGGCAGAAAACTTCGCAGTTTCGGTTTGCAATCAACACATCCAGCTTGTATTTATGTTTAGAACAAATAAGCGAACAATAAGCGAAAAGATGGACGGTGAATTCCCAAGCATCAATTAACACGCAGTCAGGCGGCAGCCTCAGAGTCAAAGTTAACTGCGAGGTGAAGCGCTACAGCAGGTTTTGTCGGGAATTTGGACACCCCTTGTAAAGAGTTCTGAGTTGGGTGGATTATACTCGCAGCCTTGTCATCCCCAACCTTTAACTGAGCCCCACGCTGTTTCATTTCTGTAGAGGAGCTGCTGGAGAAAAACCCCGGACAGCATCAACAGTATGAAAGTACCCACGGCAAGCGCATCCAGGGTGAAGGGACTGTCTAAAGTTATGGGCAGCATTTGAAATCAAAAAAGGTAGGCTTTTCATTGCTACTTTTCAGGCAGTAGGACCTGTAGCTTATTGGTAAATGACTTGCTATGAAGATAAGGAGAGAAAAGTTCCCACAGCTTTCGTGACCTTCGTCATTTACAGTGACGAATCCGTGTTACCAGAAACCAGAAGGGACACATGAGACTCTCTCTTCGCAGGCGGTTCTTTATACCACTTTCCTCTTTGCATGATGCCTTTAAAAAGGGGGGGATGAATAAAGGTCAGAAAGTAATAAAAAAGAGAAACGTACTGTCATTACATGACCTTGGCGAATCAAGGCGGAATGCAAGTCGCTGCCGGTGGAGCTTCGTCTCGAAAAGGTCCGTTTCATTTCGCGAGTGTTAAATATGCGTTACTGTGACCGGGGTTGTGCAGAAGACCGAGAGAGAGAAAGATTAGTGCAGGCTTTGCCTTACTTTGCTCACTGTTGCGTAGTTGAAAACGGGCTCTCGCTGCACAGTCGTGAATTAGTGATATACTCTGGCTTATACTGTATGTGAGAAGTCGGTATCAAACCTTGAGTGAAAGGTAAACGTTCTCATCGATAATAACAGAGAAAAAGTGTTCTCATGTTCCGCCTGAGTTTTATTTCATTACTGTAACTTATAGTGTAAGTGACTTAATGATTCTATCAGTTCCGTCTTTATCGGTTTTTAAACAAACACACACACATATATATATATACTGTATATTGCATGCTACAGGGCAGGTTTTTGCGCAAAAGCCCATTTCTAGAAAAGCCCTAGAAAAGCACTTCCTGAGTGCCTGCTGGACTCGCCGGGGATTTGAATGAACGACCCAGGGAGAGGAGCGTTTTGCATTGAATTAGAAATATTTAAACGCACGTCTTTGTAGCTGATTTCCAAAGCGATTTTAAAGTCTTTTAAAAGACTAAAGGGGCTAGCTACAAACATTTCACTGTCTTCTTTGTCGTTAAGAAATCGCAGAAAGGTTTTCGCTAAACTTTTAATGTCTTTTCCGATCAAGTAATTTAGATTTGTCACTTATTCCAATCATTTGAAATTGAGCATTTATGATGAAAGTCGACTATGCTACAGCTCATTAGTATTGTTTTGAAAACGCTTGGATCGAGCAAGCCGTGTGTTGTCATAGGGCGCACGCATGTTTATTTATGTGTGTACGTTATAAAGCTGTTAGCAGGTGTGATTGTGTTATCCGAACAACATAGGGGAGGATGAAATTAAACACTGCTGAAAACGACAGAAGACGCTCCTATTTATTTGTCATTGATACTTTCAGAATAGTAAATAAAAGTGCTTAGCCCCAGCTCGGATCTTTCAGTTGCAAGTCTTCTTCATCTTGCCTTGAAAAAAGAAATAGCGTCTAATTTTAACTTTGAAGTGATTTTCTTTTCATTTTGTTAGCAAACGGTGATGTCTGGCACCGTCAGCCATTCCCAGCGAGCTGCCGCCTTTCATCGTCTTTCAAATGAAATAGTTTTAAAAAATAACACGTAAAAAGACGACAGAAATAATGCAGCGATGGGTCAGTTTCTCAAATTCCGTCCTTGTCATGCGTTATAATCCACATAATGCACGTTTACAAACGAAATCGGTTTCACTGGTGTTAAAACAGTGCTGGGAACAAGTTGTTGCTATCGATTTATCTATTTTTTTCTGAGTTAAGGTGTCTTGTACTGTACAGTATGTGTTTGTATTTGCCCATGGCCAGCTATGAGCTACTGTGTTGCGGTCTCGCCGAACTCTGGGCTGAAGGGGGGGTTAGTTGCACAACTTAAATTCCTCATCCTCAAGTCCTGACTCACGCACTTAAAACGAAAACCATACTTGACAGTCCGGGGCAATGGAAGACTATATAAATGGATCTATCCATGCATAAAATCCTGCGATTACCTCACTTATGGAAATTGCCCAAATGTTTCAATTGGGAGAAATTGAGAGGCTGATGCATTTTTTAGTTCCCGAGGGAAATATTGGCATGTAGGAGTACACTGTTTGCTTTTGGGGAAATGCGCAGTGTACGATGAAGAAAGCGTAATATTATATATTTTTTATTCATTTTGTTCGCCACCATCCACGATTTGTCAGATCGGTAATCCGGAAAAGTCCGTCTTGAGATCCAATGTTAAGGCAAAGGGGCTTTCTGAGGGAAGATGCACACCCCCTAGCAAGGACAACATCATGTTTCAGATCTATTTTCAGATATTCAGATATCACAAACGTTGTATGCTGAGAAGCAGATTAAAAGATCAGATAACACAAACGTATCCGAATCTGGAATCTAACATGAGAGAATATAGGTGAATGGGTGTGTTTGCTTTCACGCTAGTTAGGCAATGAGATTCTTGGAAGCTGGCCTTGAAAAACCCATGCCAGGATGACATTTTGGGGTAAAAAAGCAGCTGGAAAACATGAATTATTAATATGAGATCAATTCACATTTCTCACATGCCAGTGAGGAGCAAGAGGCAGATGAACTACAGTATGTAGTGCTAGAGATGTACAGTACTCAGATGAAAACATTGCCTTTCAGCTCAGTCCACTCTAAAGCACAAAGCAAGCATCTCAAAAACTGCCTTCCCATTACTTGACACTAACACATCTCACACTCTCCTACAGTATTGTATGTTTCTAATCCTTAAAGCTAAAATTCACTGTCTGCAAAATATGCAGCACTACAATACAGCTGTCAGGAAAACAACAAAAATCCAGAATTCAATGTACTGTAACATCCAGTTCTCATCTCAGAAAGCCACTTTAGATGACTGAAAATCTGCAGATTTTCCAAAGTAAGTGCTTTTATTTCAGGCAATTATAGTTTATATCATAATTATAACTGGAAGTAAGTTTTAGTGTGTTAAATTAAGAGACCCATGTAGTCTTTTATATTGGTTGTCCATACTCGCCCATATTGTAGGAAATAATTGCTTTATCTGATGAACCAACAGATGACAGAGCTAAGCTCAGTGCTTCGAGAACAGCTTACACCAAGTGCAATGATTTGTAGCTGAGCGCTCTTTTGTTTTTGTTTTTCTTGCTGGAATGTTTCTATTCACAATAGACAATATACATGTGTGACAGCAGTACTTTGACTGATAACATGGCTCCATGACCACTAATATAAATCTCAATATTTTTGCAACAGAGTTGGCTAATGGATTCTTCAGCTCACCTGCATCTTCTCCCTAGAAGGTCACACCAGCTTCCCTTTGCTCTATGACAATGCTATTTTCTGTCAATAGTCTGGCCCCCTTTTTGTTGGCCTTCAGCTATCTAATCTAGATTTTCCTCTGGAGAAAGCAAATGTTTGACAGTGAGATTAGTAGATTATAGTACTCAGAAATGTATATATTGAAAAACCTGAAAGGCCTTTTTACCAATATTTCCAAAAGTGTAAAACAACTGATGGTACAATAGACTCCACATTTATTCGTACTGTTGATGAACTGTAACCTAAAGATGATTTAGCAAATAAATGCAGGTGAAAATAACAAGTTTTCAACATATAAAAAAATAAAATGAAATCCTCTAATGCTTTGTGATGCCGTAGTTGCTCAAAGCCTTGAATGCTTATAAGAGCTTTCACAAGCAACCTCGATTGGGTTATTAAAAAGGGCTGAACACAGAAGCAAAAGACTTGCTTCCAGATCATCATGGGGGGGTGCAGTTTTGCAAAGATCTATAATGAAACATTTATGGCCTCAACAATATAGCTGTTCAAATTCTGTAAAACACCCCATTTTTCATCTGTGGGATCTATTATCCAGTCATAATGTGATGGTGGGAGGATACAGAAAGGGGGTGTCCCCCTGGCCACTCCACTCCCATGACTGGTGTGACTGTGGCAGAGTTTCACGGCAGCATTCTGGGACAGTCTCACCCCAAGTATGATTAACACAACAAGAGTGAAGCTCATGTAATAAAAAAAAAATATCAACTTCCTGTGCAGAACCAAATTAAGGTTTATTTGCATCCCCTGTCTTAGTTAGAAATTGTTTTACAAAGTAATTGGGGGTGGTTTAGTCAAAAACCCGTATCGAGAAACTGAGCCTGGATTGCATATTGGCAATGTGCATCTAAGTCAATTACCAAAATGTTAAGAGAGCATCAGTGTTCTAGGTCGGCCATCAGAGTTTCTAAAGGAACATTTATGGAATAAGCTGGAGACAGCAGACCTCTAGTACAGACCACATCTGGTAGAACTAAAGAGGTTCTGCTCGGAGGAGTGGTCAAACACCCTCTTAAAGTACTCAAGGGGGTATTAAAAGGCTCCCCCTTCTGAAGATTGTCATATTGATTACTGGTAATATGAACCAGTGTTTTAAAGAAGAGCATGTATAGTTTTCAACTTGCCTCAGTCAAACAACACTAAATACCCACTTTTGAATGAATACATTTGGAAGCTGCTAAGAACATAAGAAATTACAAACAGAGGGCCCATTCACCCCATCTAGCCTGTTTAATAGTTAATTGATCGAAGTCATCTCTGACTTTTTACAAGATTGTCTTCAACACTGTGGCTGGGTAAAGAAGTGCCTTCTGTTCTCAGCTTTATATGTACTTCCACACAGGTTGCATTAAATACCATTGGCATATAAAGTATATACCCATGCATACATCTCTAGAAAATAAAAAATGCCAGATGAAAGAGGATATACCACTCAAGAATAACCGATAACTAGGCTCCTCTTAAGCATTTTTAGGTGCAGTTTAACTGGCCTGAGCCTTAAACCTGATTAACAATCCCTGATATATAACATTGACAGGCTTCCATTGTGAGCATGTGAAAACCACAATGCATAATAACTACCACAAACAGGAGTCTTTCTTAAGCCAACTCTTCTCCATTAATAATTTAAAAAAAAAATAGAAACCAGTTACACAAGATACTGCCTCGAGTACCTTTATATACCAAACTCATGTAAATTAACTCCATGTGAGAATGTGACTCTCTACCCCCTTGCCAATAATCTAATAAAACAATCAGTGTACCACCAGTGAGC